ATATAAATGAAACATAGCAACCCACATAAGATACATTAAGAAATACAAGCTTACATTGTTTACATAGTGTATATGTTCAGATTACATGACCATGAATGAAAAGTAACAATTTCAATATGCAGCAAAAATATCCAGTTCCCAATGGCTTAAGTACATGCTTACTGGTTACCTGAGAATACAAGTCATTTTGAAAATCGTCAACAATGAATGTTGGTGAGTTCATATGCATTTTTGTATGAAAAACGGTTTGTATCTGTTTCGTTTGAAAATTAGTGTATGTTTCCAAAAAATCTGATATTTTCTATAAAAGTGAACTGTATGTCTTACACCAAAGACTATGAGTGGATGTATGCATGTTTCTTTGTATCTTGTAAATTGTATGTTCCCAGAAAATCCAATATTTTCTGATGTATGAAAACTGTAGTCTTAAACCCTAAGACCGGAATAGTGATAATAGTGTACTGAAAATAGTATGTAGTTTTATATTTTGTAAAATCAGTGAAGTGTGAGCTTCCCGTAAACCAAAATAGTGTTGTTAATCCCTAGGTGAGTAATTATAACCATGCTTGATGTGACTGTTATGCCTGTTACGAAGTTCTTCAGACATCAGAATCGGTAAGATATTTGTCATCCTAGATTGGCCCCGTCTAGCTGTAGCGAACAACTCAGGTGTGGGGGTGTCAATCCCCGTATAGATCTATACACAACTACTTTGTTCTCCCTCCAGGAGACTCTGGTTATAATACAAGACTTATAATGTACACTAGGTAGGTACGGTGAAGATAGCGTCTCACTACAGCATTAACGGATTTACACGAACTTCGACTCCCTTTATTGAATAATGAAATGACATCACTAGTGTAAATTCATGACAGGAGTTTTATGACACGCATTTTACAGGTTTCATGACATGCATTTTATGACACGCGTTTTAACAGCTTTATGATACACATTTTATGACGTGTATTCCGTGACACGCAAGTTATTCTGTCATCAGTTTATCTTGTAATCTCTTTTGTGAAAACTATTTATAAAACTTTATATTAATAGCTAATAATAGCTATGTCTAGTAGTAAACATAACAATATTTTCTTGGGTTTTAAACCATTCAAAAATAGTGACGACAAGCTTACAACTATTTTACTAATAAAATTATTTTTAGTAAAGTATCAAACTTTGTAGTTTCGTTTAACACCTTTTTACCGGTTTGTAAGTGTTGTAACACAAAATATTTTATTTTTGTTTGACTCTAATAAGTCATGATTTTTATAACACCACAAATGATAACCTTAATATTTTATTCAAATCTTTGTGTAAGTTTCAAAAGGAGGACATGCACGTATCCATGAGTTAAACATACATGGACATATACATGGCATGTTTTTGACATACTTTAGTGAACAAACCATGACCTCAAATTATTGTGTAACAAAAATCTTAACAAACCCATACATCACGATTTTTATGTAGCTAATTTATGATAATAACCTTTTTACACAAGAATTTGTTCCATATTCAACACATAACTATCATGCATGCAATTATCCAATGGACAAACTCATTCTATATAAAGCTTGTAAATCACGATTTTTAGGTGTGTTAGCATGGGATTTTTAACATCATAAACACAAATCATTCCATAAGCAAGTTGGTGTATGTAAAATATCCAATGGGTAAACGAGACTTGACTTGTATTCCCCCCCCCCCCCCCCCCCCCGAAAAGTATGAAAACACGAAAAACATAGGGGTATGAAGCTCATCTTGAAGATTTCGTGAGTTGTAGGAAGGAAAAGAGGAGTGGTTTTGAGCCTAGCCTTGCACAAGCTTAAAGGATTCTCGAGAATGCTAGAGTTCTAATGATCAAGTACATGAAAATGTTTGTGTAAATATGAAGAACTTAACAACTAAATGTGATAAACTAATAACAAATTTGAGAATTGCTTACCAAGTGACCTAGAACTCCGTTTGTTGTTGTCTAACTTGAAGGAGTTAGATGAATTTTTGAGTGAGAAAACAATGTTTAAAGTAGAAGTGGAGTGGCAAGAGTGGGACAACCCACTCTCGGCTGAAACCTCTAAATAGAGGGGAGAGATGGTCTTGGTCATTACTTATTGGTCTCATGGATGTATAGTATGGATACTTGATAGTTAATTAGGAGTCATGCATGGAAGTATGATGGATTGTTATATGGCTTGCATGGTTGTTTGATGGTTAAATAGGTGTAAAGTACTGAGGTGGCACTCCCTTGTAAAATCAAACTTTTTCTCCTTTTTTTGTCTCATGCTCAAACCGATTTCACCAGTTTGAGAGAGGGGTTTCGGTTCATAAGGTGGCCGAAAACACCCCTCCATGAGGTTTTCGTTCCTTGTGGTGTGGGCTTTCGGGTTCACTATGGCTCAATGAGGTTTTTGGTCTTTGTTGGGCCAATTCAAGAGTTTTTGGTTTCGACAAGGGCCAAAAAAAAGTTTTCGGCCTAAGGTTATTTGGGCCAAGAGTCTAAGCAAAGGCCCAAAAATTGATTTTGTTTAGCTATTAGATCAAACTTGGGCTTACAAGAGGCTATTACAACTTGATTCTAAGTGTGTGCACATATGTATTCAAATAACATTGTTGTTTTGAGTGTGAATAATTTAATGCAACAAGGTTACATAGAGGAATTGTTGTACATGAATCACAATCTCAACCCTAAATTTGCTAGTTGTGACAACCAACAATGTAAGACTTTATATTTGTTATTTTCTTCCAAAGTTACATAAAATAAGATGGATTTACTATTATTTGTTACTATTTATCTTGTATTATGTTTATTAGAAGTTGGAAGCTATGGCCAATATTTAGCCTTTAACCTTCCTAGCTTACTTATAGATGGGTTTTCAAATCTGGCAGGTGCTTTTGAAGAAGGTAGTGCCTTATACGGGAATAAAGAATACATTTCAAGTTGTATATAGCTTAAGAGCATCTCTAGCCTATCCCATTTATTCCTCTATTTTTGGGGAAATGAATAGCATTTATTTGGTGTTATACTATTTATTTCTCTCAAAACGGGGATGAACTTTGAGTTGTTGATTTTAATCTATCTTTTTATATATTTATACATTCTAGTTTATTTTTATATTCTAATTATAATTTAAATGTAATATTTATTACTTATAATATTGTGTTATATATTCCCTTCGTCCCAAAATTATTATCCGCAGACAAAAAACACACAGATAAAGGAAACATTAATTACCACTAACTTTATTTAATAAAATGACAGTTTTGTCCTTACTTTACATTTAATGTTCCATTAAATGTTTAATTTGTTAAGTAATAATGAGACGGTATTTTGGTAAAGATGAAGTATAATTTTGGGATGGAGGAAGTATTAAATTATATTAATTAATTAAAAATATAAATTTTTTTTAGGTTTATCAAATTCGTATTAAAATTTAAATACATATTAAATTTTTAAACACGATAATGTATTTTAGAAAAGCTTATAATTAAGTGTTGTAAATATAATCTTATTTACTTAATATTATTGTAATGAAAAAAAAAATATAAATTTCATATTTGTTAAAACTAAATTAATAGAAGGGGTGTTTGACAATTTATATAAGTTAGAAAAATGTAATATACTTTTTGGGAATAAAAATGGAGTAAAATATGGAGTAGGGTTAAAGATCAAATACTATTTACCCTATTTTTTACTTTATTTTTAAGGGGAAAAATGGAAGTGGATTGGAGATGGTCTAAAAGCATCTCCAACCCACTCTCATTTTCCATTTTTTCTCCATTCTTCTCAAACCCTCCCCCATTTATTCTCCCATTTTGGGGGATATGAATAGTATTACACTAAATATGGTGTTATACTCTTTATATCTTCCAAAATGGGGATAAACTTTGTGTTATCAGTTTTAATCCCTTTATTTATATATTTATACATTTCTAGTTTAATTTTACCTACTAATTAAAATTTAAATGTAATATTTAATATTTATAATATTTTGTTATATATTAAATTATATTAATTAATTATAAAATTAGAACTTGTTTTTTGTTCTTCAAATTCATATAAAAAGTTAAATACATATTCAAATTTTTAAAAACGATTTTGTATTTTACAAAAATTTATAAGTGTGTTATAAATATAATCTTATTTATTTAATATTATTGTAATAAAGAAAATATAGATTATATATTTGTTCAAACCAAATTAGTAGAAGGGGTGTGTTTGACAATCTATATAAGTTGGGAGCAGTGGCGAAACCAAAAATTTTAATACGAGGGCCCAAACATAATCGAAATTTAAAATAACATTTGAACCATCAAAATCTGGGTAAACATAAAGCCTCTTGAAATTGTATTTTTTAACAAAAGTTTTCGAATTGATGGTGGAATACCGATCTTGATATTGTCTCTAAACTCTTAGCAACAATCACTTTGATTAATAAGAAGAAAAAAAAAAGCAGACAACAATGTTTAATGTTTTAAGCTGGGGGTGAAAGGTAGTTAAGCTTACTTATATACATAATAATTAATTTGTATGGTTTAACCTATAGATTTTATTTTGGGGGTACAACTGTACCCCAACGCCCCATCTAGCTCCGCCACTGGTTGGGAGAAAGGAATATACTAGGAATATAATTTTTGGGGTAAAAAATGCAGTAGAGCTGCAGATAAAATACTATTTACCCCATTTTTTACTAAATGGAAGTCGATTGAAAATGGTCTTACACTTACACTTCATCATATGGCTTATTTGGCGCTTCATAATGGATTTATGTTACAAGTGAAAAGACCAACGAGTAACATTTGTGTAGATTTTAATATATTTTTAGGGGCTTGTTTGTGATTGTTTTGCAAATTGCGTATTGGCTTTTTGGAAAAGCCAGAAATTCTTGGCGGAGAAAAACCTTTTTTTTTTCTAACCTAAAAGTGCCAAACATCTTAATGATTAGTGTTAATCTTTGAGACGTATTTCATTGGTGCTGCATCTTCCTCCTCCTATTAATAATGCCGATTATTGGGCCTTTAACACCCAACTGGTTGGGAGTATTCTGAGCTTCGTCATAACTCAATATGGCTAAAATATCCTTAGCTTTTTTTGTGTTCCTCGTGGTCATTTTCGTTGTTGCTATCTCAGGTGTTTGATCAAATTTATTCACGCTCATTTGAATTTAACCCCTGTTTTTAGAATTGAGTGTTCTTTACGTCTTCTTAGTTTACTTTATTAATTGCGATTTAGATGTTATATAAATAAATGCAACTGCATAGATGTGATTATATTCATTTTGCTGCATAATCTTATAGTACAATTTTTGTATTTTGGGAAAAGTATTTTACAAGACACATACCATCATATATTTATACAAAAAGAAGATTTTCAGTTGGCAGCGACTGTTTTCTAGCAAAATGTTTTCTTGTGTTATAGTTTTATTTTACCATTTTAATATCATGCGGTCATTTAGTGGAGTTATTTCATCATGCTTGGTTTTATTGCAAGTAAATTAATATACTTCTTCTGAATTAAACGCAAACGAACTTAGATTACATATCAAGACGTCATAAAACACTAAATTATATACTTATAAACGTCGAAAATTAGAAACACCATGTAAGAGTCATGATTCACGTGAATAAAACATTTTCTATTTCTTCTGTGGTTATTATCATAAGTAACAAATTTTATTTTAACTAAACTCCATTTTGCATGACGTGACTAGAAATGGCGACTGCGGACGACGAACCACAAATATGTGAAAAGGTTAGCATGATGTTCTCCGGAATTTGCATCAGCACATCGTGCGACAGAAAGTGTAAAGAATGGGAGAAGGCACTCCATGGAGCTTGTCATCTGCGAGAGGTCAGATATAGTTGCTTCTGCTACTATGACTGTAAGAAGGTGCCACCTCCAAAACCTGGGTCACCACCTGCTGTTGTTGTCTCGCCGCCTCCTCCTGGTGGCGGGGGATCCCCACCTTCTCCAGACGCCGGTGGATCCCCACCTTCTCCAGACCAGGGTGGATCCACACCGGCCTGCTGATGGCAGGTCACCATCTCCTCCAAATACGAATAAAGAGAAAAATGATTCTTATATAACATATATAGCTTTATTAGATCTTTAATGTGTACAGGGAATTGTCAGGTTGTGTCGTCGCAATAACTGATGATATGATGCCCGCGCAAAACTGATTCAATAATATAATAAATTTCGATAATTTTATGATTGAATCTATGTGATTAATTAATGATAACGTTTGAATTTTTCACGGATCGATAATCACATGATATTAGATCCTGGTAGTAAATTGATTTTGAATGCGAGGTACTAATATGTATTGTAACTTTCTCCATAAATTGATAAATAATTAAAAGAATAAACCTTAACAAAACTAATTGTACATCGGTTTACTCCATGATATTAAAACAAGATAAACCATGACACCATTAAAAAAGCTCATGAAGGACATGGTGGTCTACCATTTTCGGGAATATAATTAAGTACACCCTCATGTACTAGAAGGTGGTAAAGCCCCTTAGGAAGGGAGTGAAAAACAAGCCTGTTCAAACTCTTTAAATCGATGAAGCAATTTTTTCTTAAAACACTCTTATAACTTTAATGGGGTTCGTAACTTTGTATAGACCAAAACAAGCACTGCCATGAACGCACAACGAATGCTTCATGGCTTCATTTATTATTGCTTCTTAAACGGTTCCATGGTTTTGACTATTAACTTCATCAATATATTAAAATAGGGAGAATGACTTAAAAGGGTAATGAACTTTCAATTTTGTTCACATTTTGTCATTGAATATTTTTGGTACTTGATTTACCCCCGAATTAATTGAAATTGCACTACAAGAAATGTTAGCATTAGCGGCAACGCCAAGCAATAGCGGCGACATGTAATTGACGCGTTACATGTCGCCGCTATTGCTAACACAGTGACGATCCACGTGAAACAATCACTGTCCGTTCGATCTGTATTCAATCCGATGATCGTAAATTCCTAAAAAACACGCTGACTCTTCCCTCCTGGGGTGTCGCCGCTAATACCCTAAAGTCGCCGCTAGGCCTGGAGATATCCCAATGGCACTAAACAACACCCCCAGCAAGGGTATGTCATCAGAAAATTGGGCGAAGGCAGTCGAACATTTTCAATCGTCCGAATTTTTAAGGCGTTCGGCGTCAAACACAGAAGTTCGTGCGAAACAAGTAGTTATAAACAGAGGGGGGTCGAGCTCGTACAACAATGCATGCTTCAAAGAAGTAAGTTATGATATATTTAAATGTTTATTTAAAGTATAATTAATCTAAATTTTAATTTTAAATAGGATATCACTCGAATCGAAGCATTTCGTAAGGCTAATTCCAATTGCTAAGGGATATTTTATAGTCCTGCAGTCGAACAACAATACGAACGTGGTTAATTTGTATTTTCATATAAATGTTTATATCGTCAAGGGTATTTAGTAATCTAATTTTTATGATGTTTATCATTTTTTGAAAATACAAAATGCTTTACTTCAGTAGATCAATCAACAAACCCAAGCTCTTTTTTCAGCAAGCGGTCTAACGCCAAGTGATACAAGAAAATGTTTTGAAAAAATATTGGGTGTTCGGCGCAGACATATCAGAGGCATTGGGCGTAAACCTCCTACAATTGTGTCTATGTACGATCAGGAACAACCGATGACACAAGAACCACCACAATCACAGGTAATTGATATTTTGTAGTTTGGTAATTTTTAGAAAGTAGGATGTTATAATGATATGTTGGTTATGGTTTAATATGTTGATAGTTTGTAGTTTGGTAATATTTGGAAATTAGGATGCTATAATGATATGTTGGTTATGGTTTGATATGTTGATATTTTGTAGTTTGGTAAATTTTTGAAAGTAGAATGCTATAATGATATGTTGGTTATGGTTTGATATGTTGATATTTTGTAGCTTGATAATTTTTGCAAAGTACGATGCTATAATGATATGTTGGTTATGGTTTGATATGGTGATATTTTGTAGTTTGGTAATTTTTTGAAAGTAGAATGCTATAATGATATGTTGGTTATGGTTTGATATGTTGATATTTTGTAGTTTGGTAATTTTTAGAAAGTAGGATGCTATAATGATATGTTGGTTATGGTTTGATATGTTGATATGTTGTAGTTTGGTAATTTTTGCAAAGTAGGATGCTATAATGATATGTTGGTTATGGTTTGATATGTTGATATTTTGTAGTTTGATAATTTTTCAAAAGTAGGATGCTATTATGATATGTTGGTAATATATTTATTTTTATTTTTATAGTTGGAAATGCTGCAAACGATACTAAAGGAACCGACATGTTCTGCGGCATTAGAAGAGTGGTTTCGCTCATTGCTACCACCAAATAATAATGAAGGAAATGATGAGACTGGTGACGACGAGTAGGAAGTTTAGGGTTTTATGAATTGTTTTGTTTGGAAGAATATTTTAATTTAGGTTGTATGGATTAATAGTTTGGATTGTGAATTAATACTTTTTAAATGTTATATTGTTTTTGGTTGTGTATGAGTTAATATTTCTATAAAATTTTACCACATTTTATAAATGATATAATGTTTTTTATAATTTTAATACTAAATAAAAAAAAACAAAAACAGTTTTTGCGGCGATGTCTTTAGCGGTGCCGGGAAGTTATTAGCAGCGACAGGAAGTATTAGCGGCGACAGGTCAATAGCGGCGACGACTTCACATTAGCGGCGACTAACTGGCCATTAGCGATGAGGCATTAACGGCGACGACATACCCTATCTTTTGCGGCGACGCCCGTCACCGCTAATGACCGACTTTCTTGTAGTGTTGTTCACATTTTACTCTGTAACCGGTCATAATGTTAAAATATGAACAATTTCAAATAATTCAGAGGTAAATCATGTACGGAAAAAGTTCAATGACTAAATACGAACAAAATTGACAGTTCGTTATCCTTTCAAGTCATTATCCCTAGTAAAAATAGTGCTTATCAAGTTTGAATACAAGTTTTTCATGTATAAGTAAAATAAATTGAAAGTGATGAGTTGTAAAGTAAAACTAAAAGGTAGTTAAATTAATTAAAAATAAACAATATAAAATTATAAAAGTTTGAGAGGTAAAATATACGAGGGCTTGAAACCAATATTTTAAAACCCGGGGTTTCTAGTTGACCCGGTGTGATGATCGGTTCACGGGTCAACCCGGTTTATGGTCTTTTTCTATTTTTTATATATTTTTACTTTCCTGCATAATGCATAAACATATAAAACCAATAATTTGATGTCCACAAAGTTTAAACATTGAAAAACATTGAAAAAGCCGCAAACGGCTCGTTGTTTTGGCGTTCGCTACTTGTATCCAACTATCCAAGTCCTATTAAAACGAGTCAATCCGGTTTTAACGGGTTCAACATAAACGGTTCGACTGCGGTTTAAGGGAAACCCAACCGGTTCGATCCAGTCCGTATTTTTACAAAAAACCGCTCTCAATTGACCCGCCTTCTACCCCGGGTCACGGTCCAACCGGTTGAACCGGCGGGGTCGACCCGGGTTTTAAAACATTGCTTGAAACTGATATATTAAAAAGAAAATGAGAGGCTAGGTAAACATCGCTAAAAATGTAACTCGTATTCTATCATTAACGATTTAAATGTAGTTATAATAAAATTGACACATAAAAGATTGAACCCAATTACCTTGGAAATGGATAACGAGGCTTCAACCAATTTTATGTGCTTATTTGAATAAAGTTATATATATTAACTATAAAAATTCCAAGATTACCTACATATATCTTTCCTTTATTTGTTGTGTCATTTTCTTTTTAGCTCTTAATTTAAAGCTCTACTTAGTTATATATTTTTTCATCTTCTGTTGTAATGCATTGAAATGATATCAATAAAGAATCAAGATTTCTTTATGGTATCAGAGCAGGTCTAAAATATTGCGCAATCGATCAATCAAAACTTCATCACCACCATGGTCATTGACAAGATCGATGAAAACAAAAAGGACGTGAGTGCCCCATAGGTGAACTCTCCTTACTACATCCACCCATCAGATTACCCAAGGCAGATGCACATCAACGAAGTCTGAAAACAACTACATCGACTCGTCTCAAGAGATGGAGTATTTCTTGTTTACAGAAAAACAAGATCGACTTCATCCACGTGACGATCATGAAACTTAAAAAACAACCCCTGATTACATAGCTTGGATGCTATGTGATGTTATGATCAAAGGTGGCATACCACAAACATGGAGAAGGATATCCGAGGTAGTGTGAAATATACTAATTTTGCAGCAGAGATCTACTTGAACCTTCTTCAAAGGTTTGGAAAAGAGAGTATGCCTCTGTAACATCCTGTTTCCCGTCATTTCTTATTTAAGGGTCGTGGGCCGGAAGGCGGCTGTGCAAAGGCTTTGGACCTTAAGGAGGTAAATATTAGACCTTGTGCAATGAGGTAATGTTAGTTAAGAGATTTAACCATTGAATTGTGTTTTGGGTCGAAGGGTAGAAAGGGAAAAGTCATATGCCGGGTTCTTGCATGAAATATGGATTTTTTTTTCGAGAAGTTTTAGTCGAAGATATTTATATAATATTGTAGATCTCTTCAATACCTTTCTGTGGATTTAAAGAAAGTGGAAAACGGAGTCGGAACGAAGAAGTTCCGACCGTTTGAAGTTAGGACGATTTTTGGGTTAGCCGCATACGATGGGCGTACTAAGGCATCGCTAGTACGTTGGGCGTAAATTGAGTACGTTAGGCGTACACGATCAGTGCCCAAACCCTATTTTCGTGGTTTGAGCCATATTTATGCTCCTTAACTTCCCCAACTCATTCCATTCTTACCCTCCACGTCTCTAACACCCTCTCTTGAGACCCTAACCCTAGTTTGAGCCTTGTGAGCATCAAGAATGTGTTTTAAGTGATTTGGAGTGTCCTTGGTGCACCTTGGAGAAGAAGGAACTCATTTAAGAGTCATTGGTTTCATTGGATCTTATAGATCCAGACCTTGTTCGCCTTCATCTTTCTTCTGGAGGTATAAAATTTGAATCTTGATGATGAAATTGTTAGATCTAGCTATTTTTGGGTGTTATGAGCTTTTGGTCACTTAAATTGCATAAATGTTAGATCTTGAAAGTTTGTGACCTTGTTATGGATAAAGTGGGAA